GGGTGCTGTCCAGTCTGCTCCCGGGCTAGGCCTGGGGGATGGCAACACATGCGTGCGGGAAGTGTTTCGCTTGGCCTCAAGTCTGAAGGAGGCCTCTGCTATTGTTAGAGGAGCTAAACCAGGGAAACTGCTGGCTACTGGAGGTGCCTGGAATAGGGAGGACCTCAGGAGCAAGTTTGGTGTCTCTCCTACTGAAGATTGTGTGCCAATCCCTATTCAACAGTGCTGCAAATGGATCCACACTGAGTTATTAAACGGGACTGGTGAGTCTGGAGTTTGTGTCTGTTCTACTCTGGATGTCTGGGATCCCTATACCCCCTGTCACAGTGTGGAAATATTAATAAAGTTCATCAGCATCATATTTCTGGCTTAAATATCAGCTCTGTTGGTCACTAGAAGAGGGCGATTAATGATAGTGGGGGAGCTGGTTACCAAAATCCCTAGACTGGTTAGTGATGATCCGGGTCATTTTGGCCGCTCCTTCGGGGGGTGAGCGCTAAACCTTGTAACCCAGTAGAGGTATTTAAGTTTTTGGTAAATTCTGTAGTTATTATCTTAACCTTTTTATATATTATAGAAGATAGCAACATTACAAGTGTTAATGTTTAAATTTCCTGGAGTACTTCTTTAAAGCAGTATTATTAGTTATACATTGGCCAGCAAAGTATTTGTTTATTTTTTTCCCAAGCACTTACAGTCATAATGTTTCCATACAGCTGGCTACGACTCTCTCAGCAACTGTTAATCTGCTATCCTGGAGGAGGTAGGAAGGAGGATCAGTGATCAAGGGAGTGCCTGCCTTGCGCTGCCAGTGTGTTTGTGGAGACACACACAGCTAATTAGCACACACACTAGTGGCTCCACAGGACCCTGCAAGGGAAAGGAGCCACCTTAAAACAGGATATCAGGGCCTGTGCTCAGGGGACCAGTTGATTCTGCAGGAAAGTAAAACTTTTAAACATCAAGGAGAAGCATCCATTGTAAATTATTTAATCAGTATTTGAAATAGCTTAAAAACATTTGGACATTAATATCACTTTAAGCAATTAACTGATGGTATGTAAACCTGTGGTGAGCAATGACAGAACTACTCTGTCAGGGAAGTGGTGGTTGGGTCTAGAAGGGCTTCCCTGCAGTACAAGAGTCTGTTCTGGTGTGACTAACAATGGATAGCTAGAGAGGAGGATCCCGGGGCCCTATTGTGGGTGCGGAAGTTCAAGAGAAAGCAAGGGTGTGATGTAAAAGCCTCTCTTCACATTTGGTATATATTAGGAAAGCAGAATGAGGCTTTTAACAAAGCAATGTGAAAGCTGTGGTTGCTATTTGCATAACAGTTAGTAGTAATTATTCACATTTAACTGGAATTGTTCTGTAATGTTGAAAACAATTTGGTTGTTTATCCAAACATACGCTTCAGTTCTAACGAGTGTGGGGAACATACCCCAGAATATATAGCCATGACGGTACCTCAGTGACCTGAATCTAGTCATCATGCAATCTGTCAAGGTAGATGTTTTTTATCCAAGAACAAAATAGGAGGTGTGAAAGTTTGTGAGACCATCCTATTCTATTTCCATAATCCAATCAATATGGTGTCTCTCATTGTGGCTAACATGTAAAAGATGAAGGGGAGATCCTTGAACTCATTTAGTAAAACAACAGCAAGTCATTGGTTTAGGTATGTGGATGATATGTGGATCAAGATAAAAACTTTGTAAAAGCTTTTAGTGAACACATAAACATAGTGGATAAAAACATTTAGTTTGCAACAACCATTTGGGCTGTGTGTTTTCAAATATCCCATAATTTTCTGGAGCTATTAAAGTGGTACTAAAGTCTCAATTGTTTTTACATATATCTACTGCTCGCAAGCAGTAGGTATATGTAAAAATGTTGAAAAAAAAAGAAAAAGGAAAGGAAAAAAGTTCCCAAAAAGGTAAAAACGTACCTGTGTCTGCGCCGCTGGCTCCCGGCTGTGGAATCCAGCTTCCCGAATGGTCATGCAGGAGGAAGTGTGTGCGGGAGCATGCGCAGTTTAAATCATTGGCGGGGAGAGGACGCAGTGTAGGTGAATGCACACAGCCTTGAGTGTGCACGCCGGGCAGACTCTGTGGGATACAGTAGACATAGAACATAGAAGTCAGAGACTGGCACCAGTGCTGGAGCAACTTTTGGAAACCACTTTTTTTAGAGGACCTCCAATGGGAAAAGTGTTTCAAACAAATTTAAGCACAAAGGTATATGTATTTTCCATGCATATTGGGTCCCTGTATTACTTGGCATGTCTCTGTAGCTTCTGGGTCAAAGCCCAGAAGCTCCCCACTGCACTGAACAATAATGTCTAGTGCTCCATATCCATGTTGAATGTGGGATCTAATTTCTCAGTGTACTAGAGTAATCCTGATCTTTGGTCCAAAGAACTATAAAAGACACAGAATAATACATAGATCATATACACCAACCTTTGTGCTGAGAACTGGTTGAAAGTTCATGCCTGAATAAACTCCTCTAACCTAGGGTAATGAGATAATGGGGGGCATTTATCAAAACTGCAGCAGACAAAATCTGAAGCAGATTTGCACGGCAACCAATCAGCTTGTCTGTCTCATTTTCAAATCTTGCCTGAGCAAACTGAAGAGAAATGCTGATTGGTTTCCATGGGCAACTGCTCCAGATTCTGTCGGCTCCAGTTTTGATTAATTCCCCCCAATAAATCCAAGTTCTAATTGTTTTTTATGTGTAGACAAACAGTGTATAATGGGCACATAGACAGCAGACGGTCAACTGTTTGCCTTTGCATAATAGTTATAATGATTACTGATCATTACGTAATAGTAAATATAATTCATAATAATTGTAAGCTGTTTATGCATAATAAATGATTAGAACTCAGAACTGTGCTGAGGATAGAGGTTGAGCAGGTATACATTTTTTTCACTAACTCTAGACGAGGGGTTCTTAACTTTTTTTAGAATTACAAACACTTCAAAGGGTTGTGCAAAATGTCCCCATACACACTTCACCAAATTGTCAAAATCATTATCATCATTAGGTATCAGTATGCAAGGCCAGATATGCCATTTTTGCAGACTGTGCAGTTAGACAAGGGCCCTCTCGGACACAGGTGCCTATTTATACTAGATGTGGGTTAAATGGGTGAGATCTCACTCTCAAGTAGACCTGGGCACGACTCACTTCACTCTAGCTGGCAATCAATATACAGTGAACATTTAACTTTTAATTGAATTAGGGGCCGAAAAAATGGTCTACGGGGGACCAGTATGAATTATATCGATATCAGCACCTTAATTCTACTTTACATATAGACAGCTAGAACAGTTGAATTAAATTAAAAAGATTGTATCTTATTTATTTATATCAAAACAGCAAATCACAAATACACATACTAGCTACAACTAGATACAACTAGTGAGATTTTTTTGCTGTTGCTTTTGTGCAATCGAAACATGGAATCAAGTTCCAGTTACTGACAATGTTAGTCACATGTCACCTGACACATCAAGATTTCTTCACTTTGATTACAGGTTCAGTAATGCAGAGATTCCTGTTTCGCAATGATAAGTTGTTGTGAAGTGAACCAAAGCATTCACTGCTGGCAAGCCAATCTGTATTAATAACAGCGATAATCTGTATGTCCAGTCGAAACCTTTTTTCTTAGTTTTAGATGAAGTGTGGAAGGATTAGAATCCATGTCATGTTTTTATTGCTTTTTAGAGCTCCATTAGAGAGATTTAACCTCATTTACTACTTTAGTGACAACAGTTTCCTCAAACAGTGGAGTTGAGTAAGACTTCAACCCCTGTCATCTTTTTATTGGCGTCTAAGTCCCTGTTGGAAATGTACCCTCATTTCCTGTCTGGTGAAACCACTGTCACCATGACAATGAGGGGAAATCTCAAGGATATGGAGCCCCAGATACCAGTAAAACTTTAAAGGGGTCCTAATCGTTCCAAACTCTATCTAGAAACTAAAAGAAAATCTTTTGCTAGACTTACATTTTAATAACCTAATGATTAGAATATTATTTAAACTCTAATCCAACAACAAGGCTTTTAGAACTGGTCCTAACCCCATCGTAGCCCCATAAACCCCTTACCTTAAGGGGTATGGCCACCCCCCAGGTAAGAACTCTTGCCCTAAACCACCCCTTCTCAACTAGGGTTTCTCCAAAGGTTGCTAGGGGTTCCTCAAGCAATGAGCAAATTCTACCTCTTAGATAAGTTACCACTGACACCAGTGATCTTTTTTAGCCTTTGGTATCATGGACATTCTCTCCACTGAACACCAATATAGGGGGCATTACACAAATGTAATAGAGCCCTTCGCTGACCACCAATGTAAGGGGTACTACACTGACCACAAGTGTAAATGTGGACTTCACTGATCACCAATGGAAGGGGGCTCTTTTCCACTAACCACCAATGTGAGGTAACACTACAATTTTCATGAACCGAGTTTCTTTCTGGCCAATTTTATTATTTGTTTCTTTTCATTTCATTACTATTACTGAAATAATTGTGTTGTATAGAACAGTCCTGGGTGTCAAATATTCTATTTTTTTCATATATAATCAGTGTAAGTACCTGAATTTGACTTAGTTTAGCCTCTTGCAGTCCCTGTAGAGCAGAGCTCCAAGAGGGGAAGGGAGAAGCAACATACATAGCCAATCAGACGTGTAGCAAAACAAGGAGGCTACTGATAGGATTGTGACAGAGGGATAAGCTTATCAGTGTGCTGCTTCTCCTTTCACTGTCCAGTCACAGGATGGGGATGAGAAATATCAGACCCTCTGCCTGCGAGGCAGGACTGTACAGTGGGAGAGAGTTGTGTAAATCTCAGGACTGGGTGAATAGAAAGTAAAGACAGGTTCACTTGCATGTTATTCCTCTGAAAAAAACATCCCACCATTCTCTCTCTCTCTTTCTTACTTAGACAACTAACTGCATTGTTATAACCCTATAACCCATTATTTCTACAATGGCAGGTAACTCCCTCCTTGAATACACATTTGCTGATTCCCCATCACCTTCAAGAAACAGTTGGGGAGCTCAGAGAAACTCGAGTGGATCCACCACTGTGAATATGACCTTCTTCACCCCTAATGATGCAGTTATTGGACGATATGTTTTATACTTGACTAGTGGAGGCTCCAGACGTATCGGGGAGTTCTATCTGCTGTTCAACCCTTGGGCTCCAGGTAATAATTAACTATATTGAAGTTGGACTATTGTTTGCAATGAACATTAAAGCCAATCTATCAAATTTTTAACTGTTTTATTTTTTAGGTGAAATATCAATTTAAAGTGTATGTTAGGCAGAATTAAAAATAAAAGGATATGAAGTGCATCTCTGCAATGCATGCACATTTGCCCATGTTTTATCTCTTTAAAGACCCTTCAAGTACAGAAAAATATATGTTGGTCTGCAAAAAATGCACTCAGCTCCTTAATTCCTGTTGGAGGCTGACACTACGCTGATTTTACTGAACTGACATTTTAAGGACTGGTGTCAGCCCTGCCTAGTTGTCTTTTTTCAAACTACAGGATATCTCTCACCCTCCTCACCTCCACAACAAAGAGGGAATCGTTTTGCAGTTTAAAAAAGTGAGCTAGGCAGAGGTGATACTAGTGCTTGACATAACAAAGGCATGGTGACAGTGGCCAGCTCTGAATTTGTGACAGGATTAACAAGTATTTTTTTAAACTTATCGAAGAAATATAAGAAAACATTCATGATTTTTTTTGTGTAAAGGCTAAGTTCCCCTTTTATATCATGTTTCAGTACACTCAAATTCAGGATATAACATGAAACATGGTGACATCGTCTTCGGCATCCAACATTTCTGGGAATACCAGAGAGCCTGTGACTTCCTTCTGTGGCCTGTGGATCCCCCTTACTTTCCTGGCCACTACATTACTAGTGTGTCCCTACAGAGTTGTGCCAGGGAAGAGGAGATCACCAAGCATGCAGCCAGGAAATTGGAGAAGCAGGCACCTGACACCCTGGGAAGTGTCAGATCCTGAAACACTGCAAGAGAGTAAGGCTCCTTTCACACGGGGTGAGCAGGAAGGGATCCGTACATGGATCCTCTCCTGATCTGAGCAGTATGGATCAGATGTCCCCGCTGTAAAATCCATGTCCATTCAGTTTTTTCCTCCATCTTGCGAAGAAGTGAAAAACTAAAATGACCAGACCCCATGTCGGTCTATTGGGATTTGGATGTAAATGGACATGTATCCCCGATAATCAGCTCCAGCTTTTGTTTTCCCAGACCTGGCTGGAGTCGGGGGTAACCGGGTATAAATGGATGCTCTTCCTTTTACAAATAGCTGCCCATAGGCTAGCATTGAGCATCTGATCGGATCCACTCGAAAAACTGACAGACAGACCCGATTGGACTGCTCATGTGAAAGGGGCCTTTAAGGTTGACTGCATCAAAGGCAGTAAAGATACATTTTATTCTTCTATTTCACTAAACAGTTTTTTTTAGCAGGTGACAATGTCCCTTTAAACTCATCCTGATGATCTGTAAGTACAAGGAACAGGTCCTCATATGATGAGCCATACATTGCGTTATTTAGCTGTAAATTAAAAGTTCTAAGATTCCAGTCTGTGTGTCACAGTTTCTGCTCATGGCATTAAATGGTTTGTCAACGTGCACTGTCATGTGCGTTTGACACAGAGAAATGGCTATAAAGTGTCACATGCCATGTGCTGAACTTACTGTGTACTGACAGGTAATCCGCACATGTATGCTTCACAGAAATTATGTATCCTACTGTCACTCAGGATTTTTGGCAGGTACATTTTTTGGAGTTGTGCAATATAGTTATACTTAAGTGCCAAAAACAAGTAAGAGACAACTCAGGCATGTCTTGGTAACACCCAGCATTATTTTCTTAATTGCAGGTGATATGGTTTACATAGCAGATCAATCCCAAAGACAGGAGTATGTGATGTCGGAATTTGGTCTTATCTATGGTGGGGACTCCAACTCTCCCTCTCAGTTTCCTTGGAACTATGGGCAGGTACTTGCAGACTTTTTTTTAATGGAATTTATAATACAGCCCATTGTGCACTTTTAAAAAAATTTGTATAAATAACAGCCTGTGTTGTTTAATGTTCTACTTTGCCACCTTTCTTAGAACAAGGTGTGACTTGGTATGGTTGTGGATTCAAAGGCATGTGGCCTGAATGTTGTGCTGTTAAAAAGTGTGGAAAAACACAACACGTTTCTTGGAACCTATGTATGCTGTTGTTAAAACCGTTCCACACTATGTATAGAACACAAAAAAATACTGGGCACCTGACCTGGTGCAATAAAAATCTTTTAATTGGTAAAAGCAGTATACAAAATATGTACTCACAAATGAAGCAAGAATAAAAAGCATCAGTGTACTGACAGTCCTCCATGGATTTTTCTGCTGTGGAGGTGAGTGGGAGACAGTGAGAGAGAGTCCACAGGCTCTTCTGGTCTGCAGACACACGCTACCACTGCTGAACGCGTTTTCAGGGACACACCTCCTTCCTCAGAGCTGGGTAACTGGACTCTCCCTGTGCCAATGTGTACTCTATGATTGATCATAGGAACTCAATGGGATCGAAATACAGCCAATCAGAGAGCAGCATTCTGTTACTATGTGGGAAATGTTCTTCCCCTTTGATTGTGGCCCTGTCCCCTTAGCTATAATTGGCCAGACATGCGGTTGTCTTAGTAACAGAATGCTGCTCTCTGATTGGCTGTATTTCGATCCCATAGAGTTCCTATGATTATATATATTTTGTATACATCTTTTACCAATAAAAATATTTTATTGCACCAGGTCAAGCGCCCTGTGCTTTTTGTGTTCTACACAGTGTCCAGGATCCCTCTTCCTGAAAGGGGCAGCCTTACTGGATTTTAAGAAGTGTTTTGGGCCATACGAGGGTCTCGTTTGGCGCTGTTTTTTTGGAACTTTTGTACCCTCCGAACTATGTACCTGTCCAGAAAGCTACTCTAGCCACACGTAATGGCAAGGAATCTCATTAAATGTGGTCCTACTCAAATCTAAAAAAATCCCAACAATAGGTCACCAATAGCAATGAATAAATTAGAAGGAAACTTATCTTAAAGTCAGCCCATGTTTTTCTAAGGGTATAATTCTCAGAATTCCAGACAGGGACCTGAAAAAGCTACCTACATTGATAAAGGGTATGCCTTCATCAAGCATAGGATAAAATTGGTCCATGATATGTGCCAATGTGTAGCCAGGACACCACCTAAACCCCTCCCTAGCCAGTGTCACCTTTCAGCAGGAGCCTGTAGTCCCTACATTTAGCAGGTAGTGGACAAAAAAAAGAAAGCAAGTCTGTTGTGTCAGCAAGGAGAGGTCATCCTGACTTTTTAGTGGTGCTGGAAAGGTGCACTGTCTGTGTAGCCAAACTAGAACTACCTTCCAAGTTCCCACACCACTGAACGCATAGGTCTCATGTATAAAGTGGCGGGCAGCTGTGCTTGGTTGGAGATATAAGAATAGCAGGGCCAAATAGAATACATTACCCACCGAGACCCAGTTAATTGTACATACCTGGGCCTCAGTAGGCCATTCTATTCAATTTTTTGTTAACCACTTTCCATCAGTGTTACAAACCTCTCCCTTATGACTGCCTGAAGTGGTTTTGGTCAAGATAAGGTACTTTTGTTAATTTGGTAGGCAAGGTTTAAAATGTGCCTCTAGGCAAAACTCTGTTTAGTTTTGGTTAGAGTGGGTAAGGGTAACACTATCTGTTAACTTGTCCCCATTGGGAAGATTCACCGCCCAATATGTATTGGTAACCGATGTCACTGAGAAAGAAAGTTAGGGGAAATCCAAAATTTAAGAGCTGTTCCCAGAACAAGAGGCAAGCGATAGGGACACATTTCTAAGAGGGGAATTCTCCTTGCCTTGGGAGATTTCCATTAACTTTCAATTGCATCTCTTGGACAGGAAACAAGGGGAAATTTAGCAAATGGTACACAGAGAGCAGAAATTAACTACTCCAACCAAAACTGAAGTTTTAGCTATACATACACTTTAATGTAAAAACACAGTGACTTGCAACACTGCACTAAAATTGGTTCTCTTGAGACAAGAGAACCTCTTCTGTCCTATTCTCATCCAGATGAGTACACTCCTGAATCCACCCCCCGTCCCCCCCCCGCCCCAAGACCAGAGCTCAATCTTCTCAGCAGGAGCCTTTTTTCCCCAGAAAGCAGACATAATCGAATTACTTGTAGCATGTGTTATTTCTTGCAGGGAATGCCCATTCCATGCATGTATCTCCTCCCAGACACTTCCACTCATCAGTAAAAAACTAGATAATGTCTCTGGAACCCACTTGTAACTGTCTTGGAATCCATACAAATATTACTGTCAGTAATTGTATGGAGGAATAAAAGCAAAGCACAGATTAACTTTATCTGCTCTCAGATGTCTGTGTACACTTGCCTATAATAGAGCCATGATAAAATTAGCGACATTGGCCATATAATCAGCCAAGAACAACCTGAAAAAAGTCTAATTAAATCTTTCTGGTATACTAAGCTGCACAATGGCCAATGTTGACAGTGGTGTCTTCTAGAAAGTAGTACCTCACTGCTATAATAGTTTCTAAAAACCTCTTTGCAAAATGCCTATCTTAATAATTTACACTTAGGTAACCACATCAAAGTCAAAGAGCAAGTCCTCTGATTACTAGTCAGAGGTTTTGAAGACTGGCAGAAATAAGTACAAGTGAACCACCAGCATCACCATTGTGTATGGCTTGAATGAGATGCTGGATTGTGTTAAAGGATATTTAATTTCATATTTGGTTTTTTTTAGTCTTGGGAAGCAATGGCGGGGATCAAAACATCTATCTAGTCTCCCTCTACTCAAGTAAAAGCAGTGTTTTTATTGTTGTTCACAGAAGTTTGGGGGAGATTTGCTTTCACTTCTAGTCCCGACGTCAACAATTTAGTAGGGTAGGAAGTGTGGAAAAATGTCTCAGAAATGCACAGACAACAATAAAAATGTTATTTAGTAGAAAAGAAGAAGTCTAGAACTGTGCTGCCATGACCACTGTTTTCCATTATTTCCATTACACTGCTATGTATTAATTGCATATTATTATGTTATGGTATATTCATGACATCTAGTGGTAGATTAGCTCTACTAAAACTTGATTTTCTATATACATTTGGTATCTTCCACTGTTCTTGCCTCCTCTTTAGTGTCAATTGGTATAGCTTTAGATAGACCCTACTTCCTTCTTTCACATCCCCTCATTGTATGTCTAGCCCTTATTGCAGACACTAGATTTAGAAGATCTATTGTCATTTTACACTTCATGTGACTAGGGAACATCCTCTGTAACTACTTTGAGAAGTAGCTTCTGTGTCTTCTTGTAGAGTTAGGCTGTCTGAAGATGGAGCCAATTCTGGTGGTGATTACACTCTCCGGAAGGATCTAGGTCCAACGGAGGTATGTCAAAGCATAAATCTGCTCTTGAAACATAATCAAGAACCCCTTGCAGCATTTTATTGCTGTCTGTGTCTATATTAGTATTTTTCCCTTACTTTCTGCCCAGGGTGACAAAGTTGTCGCTGGGAAAGGTATTCAAGGAAAATCTCCCCAAGCATCAGATCACAATTAATGCCTGGCCCCCCACCCCTATCACAACAAAAAAAAGGTCTTGCACTTTAATGATAACTGCTGATTTTCTAAGTTTTTAATGAATGAAATTGTTATACTGGATATATTATTTACAGATACATTTGTACTCAGTTTCAGGGACAGAATCTCTACATCACTCTCGCACTACTGGATTCATCTCTGAGTTTTCGCAGAAATGCTTCTGAGGATGTCAGAAAACGCAACAACCCTTTACATATCGCCAGAGTCCTGAGTGCTATAGTGAGTGAAGAAACAATCCACAGTCATAATTATTCAACACTATGTATAGGAGGTCTGTCTGTCCCAAAGTGGTAATTCAGTAGCTAATTACTAGGGATGCACCGATACCAAGTACTGTACTCGGTACAAGTACAGATACTTTTCCAGCTCCAAGACTAAACTAGAGAAAAATGCAAAAGTTAGGAGGCAGCTGTCATTTGTAAGGAGCACACGGAGCTCCTGGGATTTGTACATCTCTGTTTTAATGTATGATTTTGTTTCTATAAACATATATAAAGGGATGCACCGATACCATTTTTGCAAGTGCTCACAGATACAAGTACTGATACATTTTTTTTCTTGTCATGTGACAGTTTTTCTAAAACAATATCGACTAATGATTTCAGGACAGTGAAGGAGTGCCAAAGCTAGGTCCCAGCTGCAACCGCTGCCACCCTGGTAGTTCTCATGAAAATGCCAAGTATCAGCACTGGTATCTGAACTGGTATCGGTGCATCCCTACTAATTACATTACCCCTCCTCTGCATCGGTCTGAGGTCCCATCATGTGTCAACATTCTAATGCTGCAGTGTAGGAGAGAGGCTGAACGGGGCGCTGTGATAGCTGGCCATCTCAGCGCTTTGGGTGAATATAACCAGGGCCGGCTTTCCCACAAGCCCAACCAAGGCCCGGGCACCCAAGGCAGGGAGTAGAGGGGCAGCAGGGGTGTGGAATTCCTATCTCCCAATGCCCGGGGCATGCAGTTCCGGGCACCGAGTTGGTAGTTGTTTTCTATATATAGCCCTGCTTTGGGCAAGCAAAGCTAAATGTACAGAGGGGGTGGGGGGGGAGTGCATTGAGGAACCTGGCCTTGGGGCAGCAGAGAGAGTAAATCTGGCCCTGAATATAACTTATGTTATTTTTGTATCTAGACAAAAACGAGCACTTAGCCCTTGCGGTGCAGGAGTTATTCTTTACATTGAACCTAAAGGCTTTACTCAGAAAGGTTGTTGGTTCAGCATGTCAGCCAGGTAACTAGCATTTTCAGCAAGCTACTAATTATTCTCAGTACAGCTTTCCTGAACTGGTCCAGTACCCAGTTATGTGATAATGTTATTTTGTCTGATCTAAAAACAATATTCTCTCTGGTCTCAAGTGACTGGCAGCCATAGACCATATGATTTAGGCTGGCAGCTCAGGATCAGTCATTTTTTGGAGACCAGCAAGAAGTACTTCTTTTGTTTAAAGTGGAACTCCAATAAAAAAAATATTAGGATAAAAAGAAATGCCGTTCGCACAGCACTACCGCCACTAGATGGTGCTGAGGAGCGGAGCCCCTTAATAAATGTAATAATGATTACAAAGCTGCATTAGTTTGTGTGTTTTACATCTGCCTGAAGTTCATCTTTAAAATAATGCCATAGTTTAGTAATGCTGCCATGCCTAACTGAGATGAGAATGTTAATGATAGGTCCATGTTAATTTTGAAACTTGGTGTACAATGTCTCTCTGCCAGGTGAATAGTAAAGATGATAATGGAGTGGTGATGGGTGACTGGAGTGGAGAGTATTCTGGTGGTACCAATCCCAGTGCCTGGAATGGAAGCACAAGCCTTCTGAAGAGCTGGTTTGAACGTAGGCAGCCAGTAAAATATGGACAGTGCTGGGTCTTTGCTGGTGTTCTGTGTACAGGTAATGTTATATTGTAATACCATGTCATATTTACAGTTATATCATTTTTCTTTTGACATATAGATTTGAAGAAATTTAAAGTATATGTGAATGCTAATGATCTCCAAGCAATCAGTACACTATGTATAATCATTGCAAAAAATAATTACTTCACTCATAATCAAATATAACCAAAAATACCTTGGGGTGCATTTATAAAACATGTGCATAGCCAGTTGTCCTGCGGAACTGCATGTACATTTGTTCTGTGCCAATAGAAGAAATGCATGTTATAGGTGTATTTTCTTTCCTGATTGTAATATTTCCTGAGTGTAATATCAGTGAAATACCACATTATGGCCACTAGATAGAGCTGATGAGTGCAGTAAAGACGTATTTGTTTCCTCAGCTCCATCTAGTGGCCATAATGTGGTATTTTCCTGATATTACAATGGACCTGGAAATCAAACACACTAATTTGCAAGGAAGGAGCAGGGGTAGTGTTTCCATTGAGCGTGGGTACTTAACTTTGTAACCATGGAAATACAATATGTTCCGCAGCCGCAGTGGCAATGCTGACTACAGACTACAGGCAAGCTGTGGATCTTCACAGCATCCCATAGTTTTGACCAGCAAACTGATGGACATAAACCGACCATGCCAGTAAGGATCTGCTTTCATGCTTGGCATGGTCAAAATGCTACAGGAGGGAATAAACCACTACACAGCAAAATGTAAACATTTTATCTGAAGGTTTTTTTTTTTTTAAACAAATTTAATTAGAATTTTGTGATACAAAAACAAAAGCACTGTCTGCGCATCTGCATGTCGATAGCGCACGCTTTAACACAGGTGACATCAAGAACAGACACGTACAAGCCTCAATTGCAGGCCATATTAAAGAAAACAGTAACAAGAAAATAAAATAAAAACAAAACAAAAATAACATATGTTCTATGCAGTTTAACATCAATAAATTGCATCTATGATAGGTGTCTCGACACAGATTTGTATGCAATCGACCTAGTGCCATATAGTAAATAGTATGGATCCTAATTTCCAATGAATACAGACAAACTAATGTAAGCTGGAGATACAAATGACTCAACTATTCCTGTTCTAAGGCCAGTTTCCCCAGGGTGTTCGACATGTGACCAGTTAGATACCATTTTGTGTAACGGAATGGTTTAACAAGTTGACTAATTTCCGCTGTCGTGTAGGATTGAATCAGAAACAATTCCATCTGCGGAAGAAAGATTTAGCAGACGCATCAGCATGTGATTCTGCGTCTATTCTTTCCCTGCAAAAGAGAAGTTTGAGCTCCTTGATCACCTCCTCTACTGTAGGAGGCTTGCCATCGCTCCATTTGCGCATAATCACTCTCCGAGCTGCAAGGAGGCAGATGTGTAACCAGTCCAGCCCCTTGGGGTACCTACCCTGTCTGTCTCCTTCCTGTGAGGAGCAGTGACTGAACAGACATAGGGCAGGGTCTAGTTGGGGATCCCAGGAAAGAATCTGTGCGATATAGGACATCAGGAGCGTCCAGAATTGATGGATCCGGGGACAAGTCCATAGGCAGTGTTTCAAAGTGGGATGGGCACAGCCACATTTCGGACAGCTGGATGACTTGGTTTGATGTGAAGCGGTGCCTTCCGGCATGAAATAAGGGACATAAGCCCTGTGCAGCAGCTTAAACTGGGTCTCCCTCCATATTTCGCTAGTGATCACCTTCCTGACTTTGTTGTATCCCTGCAGGGCCTTGTCCACTAGGTCCGGATCTTCAAATTCTCTGGCCCAAATTTTAACATTCGAGGTAGCCAGCAATGGCGTGAATACTGTTTGAAGTCTAGGATATAGAGTAGATATTGAGTATGATTTAGAGGACAGTAGAACGTCTAGGAATGAGGTAGCAAAAATGTTCTTGGGATCCCTAGATATCGCTTGCCAATGTTTAGTGGCCTGTAAGAAGTGGAGAAAGTGATGTGAGGGCAGACGATACCGTATCATCAATTCTTGGAATGTGTATGGTGCCCACGTGTCCGGCCGGAACAATTGCTTCCAGGATTCTGTGGATTTTCACAGGCTGAACGCCCTATACTCCATGCCTTGGGGGAACATTGGGTTATGCATAATAGGACTGTGGCTGGAGAGAAATGGGGAAAGCCCGAGACCTTTCCGCATCTCTCTCCACGCCACCACCGTGTCCCTGTACAATACATTCTGTCGAACACCCATGGGTAGAGTTGAGACCTTGCACTGGAGAATTGCTTTAATATCCCAAGGGGCCAGAAACGCCTTCTCCAGGGGCGTATTAGAATATGCAGAATCGTCGTTGAGCCAATCCAGAGCGTGTCTCAATAGGCAGGCGTAATAGTATAATTTTATATTCGGCAGGTTAGCACCGCCCTCACTCTTCGGGAGCCACAACTTCTTAACAGATATTCTAGGCCGTTTTGATTGCCATATGAAGCGTGTCATGGCTCTTGTAATTTTGGCAATATCCGAACTCTTTAACAGGAGAGGAAGAGTTTGGAGCGGATACAACAATTTGGCGAAGCTAGACATTTTAAACAGGTGTATCCTCCCGAAGAGTGATAATGGGAGATTTTCCCAGGCTTCCAACTCCTTGATAATTTTATCAATCAGAGGGGGATAATTTAGCCCATACAGGGAGGATGGTGTCTTACCCACCTTGAGTCCTAGATAGGTAATGTCTCGCTGTGCCACTCTAAACTGCATTTGCACATCCCAGTCCCACACCTTGGCTGATAGGGGTAATATCTCGCTCTTCGTAAAATTAATTCTGAGGCCCGAGAATGTAGTAAACTGGCCAAATAGTTCCTGTATCACTAGTGCGTCCTCCTTGAGCCGGGAGGTAAACAACAAAACATCGTTCGCGAATAAAGCGATTCTCAAATCCTCCTTGCCCACCCTTATACCATGGAGAGCAGGTGTTTCTAGGACGTGACGTGCTAGAGGTTCTAGGGCCAGGTTGAACAGCAAGGGGCGACAAAGGACAACCTTGTCGCATCCCCTTGCCCAAAGCGAAGGAGGAAGATATAGCTCCCTGGGTCAATATTCTCGCCACCGGAGAGTCATACATACGGTGTAGGAGAGATCCTGCCCCTGAATCGAAACATAGATAATACTCGAAACATCCATTGCATATTGACGTTGTCAAATGCTTTTTCAGCATCCAGCGTAATAATGGCCAATGTAGCCTCCGGATCAGACCGGGCCATCTCCAACGCCAACAGCACTTTTCTCAGGTTTGACACCCCCGCTCGACCTTTGACAAAGCCAACCTGCGCAGGGTGTATTAATGTGGGCAATATATTCGCCAATCTGTTTGCTATAAGCTTGGATAAAATCTTGACATCTAGATTCAGCAATCAGATGGGCCGGTAGGATCCTGGATTAGTTGGATCTCTACCCTCCTTAAATAGCAACCGTATGTATGCCTCCTGACCGGTAGCGGGGTATGGACCTCCCTCCCACACTTTATTGTATAGGGCCTGCAGGGAGTCTATTATATCCTCCTGTAGTACTTTATACATGTCAGCCGTGTATCCATCTGGTCCTGGCACCTTGCAGCTAGATAAGTTCTTGATCACCCCTAGAATTTCCTCCTTGGAGATATCTGCGTTAAGTAAATCTAATTGCTCTAGCGAAAGACTTGGGAGACGAATATTATCTAGAAACCGTATGGCTGCTGTTTCATCATAAGAGTCCTCCTCATAGAGAGCCCCAAAAAAACTCCTCCAATATTTTATTAATAGCTATTGGGTCAGTGGTTAGCTCACCCTTGGGACTGCGGAGAGTTAGAATGGGGTTAGGGCGATAGCTACCCTTGGCCAGAGGTGCAAGAAGCTTCCCTGATTTGTTCCCAAACTTATGGAGACGTAGGCCTGCATAGGAAGCTTTAATGTTTTCCTGCCTTTGTGCCCATAAGTCAAACTCCTGCTTGGCTCCCACCCAGTCCTGCTTGTGAGCCAAGGATGGGTTCGCTATCAAAGAGGCGTGCGCCACCCGTAGACGAGCACTCGCCTCATGATATGCTTTCATGGTCTTTTTCCGGTATGCTGAGACATAAGAAATAATCTTACCCCGCATACAGGCCTTGCCCGCTTCCCAGAAGAGGGTGGGATCGGTCGTATGTATCGCATTGCACATGGCATAATCCCTCCAGGCAGAGCGAAGGAAGTGTTGGAAATCCTCCTCGGCCAGAAAGGACGGGAAGCGCCACAAAATCATATTCTCTACCCGCGGCGAGTGGCTTTCCACCACTGAGATCGGGGCGTGATCCGATATCACCAAGTCGTGAATCTCAGGACCTTGCGTGTTGGGCATCAGAGCATCTGAACAGAAGAAATAGTCCAGTCGTGACAGGCAGTCATGTACCAGGGATACGTGCGTGTACTCCGACTCTAAGGGATGCGTGAGCCTCCAAACATCCCTGAGACAGAGATCCTCCATCGTAGATGCCAACACCGACTGCCTGCCAGAACCGGACCGTCTGCTCTTGGGAATAGTCCCCGAAATCCATTTCCTGTCCTGCAACGTGGACATTGTCGAGTTACAGTCGCCTCCAATCAAATGGTGGGGCAGATCAAACTTATTAATCCAGCGAGCAAGGGATTGGAAGTCTGCTAGGGTGGGCGAGTTGGGAAAATAGACATTTGTTACAGTAAAGAGCGTGTGTTCACATTTCAGGGTGACAGACAGTAATCTCCCTTCGGTATCTCTGTCTACCCCCAACACTGAATAGGCAAGGTTTTTACGAAGCAATATTAGAACACCAGCTGTGCGGCCCTGGGATGGCGAGCAGAACACTTCCCCCACCCATAGGCGTTTGATCCGAAATAGATCCTCGTCCCTGAGATGCGTTTCCTGCAATAGGGCCACATCCGCCCTCGTGCGTTTTAAGTGACGCAATACCTTGGTCCGCTTCTGGGGGGAACGAAGACCCTTAACATTCCACGAGATTATTTTCATGAATGTATACGAGATGGGTCAGGATTATTCATGCACGGTTCCAATAGGTGTGGATAGTGCATTGCAAGGACATTACTGAGACGTTCCCCCCAGAAGCTCGCCCAAGCAGCCGCAGGGAGACATAACAGAGAGTAGGCAATAGTGCAATTAGAACATGATAGAACATAAACAGTGCATGAAAACCATACAACATGTACAGTGGAAGAAAAATAAAACATATACTTTACTGACTTCGCCATTTCCCTATGGACGCAAAACGGGATATGTGCTTCAAAACCCGTTACAGGTCATCCTGGCAATATATAGAAGAGAGAGCAACACACGAAGGGTGTCCGCTACCCATCTCTGCTCTATAATTATGATGGGAAAGAATGAGAACAGTTAGCGTAATTGAACAGTTTGTTCACTCCTGTTACCATCAACGCTTACGGTATTTGCGGGGGGTGCCCATCACCCGCTTTGGTATTTTGGTGGATTTGCGTGGCGAACGTGGAGGCAAGGGAGATTTGGAGGGAGACCCAGTATTTGTAGCATCCATCTGATTAAGGAATTGTAGTGCTTCATCTGGATCCCGGAATGAGTAGTTGCGACCTTCAGCCGTGGTAAGATGCAGGACGGCCGGATAGGCCAGTGTGAATTTGATCCGCTGTCGATATAAGTTGGAGCATACCTCACTGAAAGCTTTCCTCTGTTTCGCCACTTCCGCCGAGTAATCTGCGAATAGTAGTACTTTATTCCCATCAATTTGAAGAGATTTAGCAGCTCTATATTTTTTTAGGATCTGGAGCTTGTCGGCGTAGTTAAGGTACCTGGCGATAACCGGTCTCGGTGCCTTGGCGTTGTCTTTTGGCTGCCCCAGGCGGTGAGCCCTCTCCGCTGTGCAGGCTGCAGAGACCCCTAGCAACGCCGGGATAGTGGATGCGCACAACGTGAGCAATTCGTTCGGCTTGTATGACTCAGGCAGACCCACTACCCTCAGGTTGTTGCGGCGAGAACGATTTTCAAGGTCTTCTATCTTATCTTGCATCGCCCGTGAGGTAGTGTCACACATAATCAGCTTCGATTGAGCTTCAAGCAAGTCGTCCTCCAGTGAGGAGATGCGGTGTTCCACTTCTTTAAGTGCTCGTGCCTGTGCTGACAGATCCTTCCTGATTTGGCCCATGCTGTGCTGAATGGCTGTCTCCACCGCCTCAGTGATAGTCGGTCTCAACAATTTGGCTACCGCTGCTGCTATTTTAGCATGTGTGCTGTCCTCATCCAGGCCCTGCACCTCAGAGGCCGGAGACACGCTTCTTTGTGGGGAAGTATGTGGGGCCGCCGCCATCTTGGCTACACGTGATTCCCGAGTGAGCGCCCGAGACCGATTAAGTGATCGGGATCTCGATCTGGATCGTGCAGACACCAGGAATCGGTCCATCCCCGGGCACCGGACACTCTGCTGGCTCAGTAGAGTACCTGTCACGAGGTGGGTAGCCGGTTTTTTATACAATTAGGATGCCGTAACGGGAGCGCCGTCTCCCTGCTGCCACTCACATGGGTGCCGCAACCGGAAGTATCTGAAGGTTTTAATTACCCATGGGCATGAAAGGGTTAGGCTCCCCGTCCTACCTGGTGGTAAGCTGTACTTCTTGTCATTCAGCCGTCAAAATTCACAGCTTCTACTGACCATTTACATTCTAGCATTAGGCATTTTAACATTAAGGGGCTAGTCCTAACATCAGGAAGGGGTGGTGCTTAATCTTGACCTGGGCAGAAGTCGAGGACCCGAGTACAGCCTGAGCCTAGGGGCTCCATAGGCTTCCAGAGATTGTAGGTGCCTAGCACAGGTACCTGCAGGAACCACAGTGTGTCTACACTTCAGAACCCAGCAATGATCCTATATAAACTTGGTACTGAGAAATAAAATCCATGGAAAACAATGTTTACATTAAGATAACATTTGTACGTTACATTCATGTACTTAAACATTCGAGCACAAATTATGTAATATGTACATTTCCTTTAAAATTATTCTCTCTTTTCCTCTGTTTAGTCAGCAGAGCCCTGGGATTACCCTGCCGAGTGATTACTAACTACAATTCTGCCCATGACACAAATGGTGACTTGAGCATTGAAAAATACTTTACTGAATCAGGAGATCCAGTTGAGATCAGCGATGACAGTATTTGGTAAGTATTAAACTATTATTAGATTAGTGTAATGATTCATCTAATTGCAATTTACAATTTGCAAGCTGGAATCACACCTCTGCTAAGCATTTTAGTCATAGCTATTACATCATTTACCCTCATTCAAACTGTGGATGCTGTAGAGCTGGATTGTGCACTTTCTACAGAATGGTGTATAGAGACATGTAGGGGGTGATTTACTAACCTAAACACACGCACGCACTAGGTGCGTGTGATTTTCACACAGCCAAATTTATTTATCAACCAAAAAGTCTCTAAAAGCATATTTCCACTAATGCCATATATGGAAAAATCATGCACATGATGCATATATAATGCTGCTTCACAGTTTAGACAAAAATGGTTAGCTCATGCTTTTACATTCCTGCATTCATCAACGCAAGCAACACAACATAGAGCTAATTTACACAACATCACCTTGCAATTCATGCTTGGCTTTGCACAACACACCTGCTGGGTGTGTACACACTACAAAGGTGTTTAGATTCCACCCATAGATCATGCTGGGAGGGAACACTCTACAGAGGTGTATACATGTTCGTGGTGTGTTTATAAGGTTAGTAAATCAACCCCCTAGTGTTTAAAAATAATATTGGCAATTTTGGGTTTCTTAGTTCAACTTGATTCCATAGAACTAACCAGCTAGCTAACTAGTAAGAAGATTGCCATTAAATAAGTTAGCACCTTAATCCATTTTGATCTTGGTAACAGTGTGCTACCAGTGTCCTTCTGTAAATACAACCTGTCATTGTAAGTGCTAATAAAGTAAAAAGAAATAGTTTAACAAATCCATAAATTCTTCAGTCCCCATCCCTCCTCACCTTTTATGATTCTCTAGCCCATACTGGCATAGTTGGTATGTTTTGGGTTGCCTGTGATAATAGTACATGAGGAATCTCTCCAGGTTCATGATAAAAAGGATTAACACTACTGCATTGTGAGATGTGGATATGGATTTTGGAGAGATCAGAGCTTCCAGTCCTTTAAAAGCAGCATTGCTGAGCCCACTGAAGGTTGGATTGTAGCTTCTACCAAGGCTGCTAGATGTATGTGTGGCCCCAAGCCAAGAACTACCATTGATTTTTTTTCCTTCATAATTTCCTATGTAAAAGTCAGTGGGAATGAGGTCCCTAATGGTTTCCTAAGAAGTGCAGTGGTAAAAGCAAATGAAGTGGTGAACAACTGGAGGTGTTCAGAAGAACCTTAGAACCATGTTTCATATTCTGAAGAGGTTGTGAGGACTGCATCAATGCCATGGAGTAGGTTAACAAACACCAGTCTACTTGCAAGAAGAATTCTGATTTTGGGTTAACGCTTGTTTTTATGCCGTTGTTTACTGTTATTACTTCAGTAAATGTTTGACAGAAATTGCAAGCTCCTGTTCCTTTGCTCTTTGTTGTGACAACCAGGGGAAGAGTTTTATTTTCTAACCAATGTCCCCCTCTTATCCAGTAGAGTAGAGGTAATATGGTGCTTCATACCCTTCCCTTCTGCCAGAGAGGAGGTATTACCCCACTCTCCGATGAGGACAACTAGTAATTAGTTGTCCCCATCAGAGTGCCCCCTTACATTGGTTGTTCCCATCAGAGTGCCCCCTTACATTGGTTTTCCCCATCAGAGTGCTCCCTTACATTGGTTGTCCCCCATCAGAGTGCTCCCTTACATTGGTTGTTCCCATCAGAGTGCTCCCTTACATTAGTTGTCCCCCATCAGAGTGCTCCCTTACATTGGTTGTTCCCATCAGAGTGCCCCCTCACATTGGCTGTCACCCACAGAGTTTTTGAAATCCCAGCTTTTTTTTTTGACCACCTGCCTTTGTCACTCTATTCCCCTGTGAGTCATTGAAACACTCTTATGGAGCATCGCACCTTGACTATTTACATCCATGTACTAATATCCTTTTCTGCACACAACTGGCCAGTATTACTTCCAGACATTTACTGCCAGCCCGCTTGTTCTATGGCCAGGCCCTTACTGAGGAGCCTGTCGTAAAAAATAATTAGCATGTGGCAAGAAAAACCACCCTAAATACGTGTATGTCTAATAAACATGGAAATGGGACCAGTCACCCCTTTACAGAAGCAGTATTAGTAAATCAGATGTATTAAGAATCACTCAGCAATAGTGTGTATCAGCCCTAAAGTATATATAAAGCCAACAGTTTAAAATAAATTTGGGATAGAGTAGGGGAGGGTTAAAACTGCTGTCATTTTTTTTTCTGCCTCATTGTTTTTTTCTGTGTCTCCTTTGGGAGGTTTCTCTTCACTTCTTGGCCCGTAGACTGAATAGGGAGCTAGAGGATATAATTCCGATGTAAGGGAAATGCCCACTTTGACAGTTGTCATGGGAACAACTAGCCCCATTGGAATTTTGCCCCCCATTTCTGTTCTAATGGCAACTCAAAAATGTTGGCTTTACACCCACTTTCATTTCTTGAATTTCCTTATCACGGACACTCATAGCAATAAAACCTCCTTCAATGATAGTCAGTACTAATCTTTTAGCTTGTGCTAGTCATATTCATATTATTTAATTTGACATATGTCGTTTTTTTACTTTAATCAAAATGAAAGCACGTCATTTTGTGTGTTTTTCCAACAATAGGAATTTTCATTGCTGGAATGAATTGTGGTGCACTCGACCTGATATTAGTAGTGCTTATAATGGATGGCAAATTTTTGATTCAACTCCTCAAGAAACAAGTGATGGTAATAAAATATACATTTTTGGCTAGAAAACAGTTTCAAACCCCCAAACAATTATATATTTTCTGAAACCAGAGGCCCTGTAGAATAAAAAAGTGCTAGTTGCAATTTTTTATGTCGCACGGTTTTTGCGCAAATGTTTATCAAACCAGTATTTTTATGAAAAAATAAACTAAATTAAAATGTAGTGCACAGAAGTATAATATAATACCCCATTGTTTGGTAAAATATGACAGGATCATGTCGGGTAAATAGATACCAAACATGTCAAGCCTTAAAATTGCGTTCGCCCGTGAAGCCACAAAAAAGTCAATACGCCAAATTTCCCATAGGGAACACTTTAAACGCTTTAAACCACTCATCAGTTTAGTGATTGATAGTGCTCGAATGATTGCTCTCACTCCGACGTTCGCGGCAATATGTAACATGTGTAGCGCAATTGTCGTTTTCGCACGTAGGCTTTTTTTGCATTTTCTTTATTTTTCTTATATGTTACTTTCATTTTTATAATTTTTAAACACTTTTTTTACACTAACCCTATTGCTATCATATAGGGGGCTAACAAACACCCTATGTAATAGCAGATAGGGTATGACAGGTCCTCTTTATGGAGACATCATTTCTTGACCCCTAATGTCACCTAGGGACCCCAAAGAAGCTGAGGAAGCAGATATCTGCTTCCCCAGCTTCATCTGGCTCAAAGAGCCGGAGACGGTAAGAGTGACACCGGAAGTGATGCAATACACATCACTTTCTGGTCCAGTGATCGGAGTAGAGACCAGCGCCTTTAAGCCGCTGAATCTCTTTCCGTTTATTGTGGGGGCGGGGGCACTGCACGGTACAAACAGACGCCGGATCGCTTGTACATTAACAGCAATTGCCTGCTGTTAAAGACTACTGACCAAGAACACGGCTACTGCAGCAGCCGTGTTCTTGTTTTAACCACTTCTGCGGGCCGCCGTCTATAGACGTATTGCGGCATGGAAGTGGTTACAAATAAATAAATAAATTGATCCACCGTCGTAATCCAGGGTCAATCACGACATCCAGCGTTGTGCACGATGACGACAACTCGACGAAATAAAAAATAAATCAAGAAAAAATAAATAGAAATAATAATTTTAAAAAACGACGCCCGCCGACCTGTCCACTTGCAATGAACTCCCGCCGCAGAATGGCATTTTGACAGATGCCGGCAAAATATAAACAATTGGGCGGAGCTAGCAGTGGCATCTGGCTCCACCCAACTGTTTACAGTTGTATGGCATTTGACAGGTATTTGACAGGCATTTGACAGGTGCCTTGTGGGGAGCTCGGCGGGCAAATAGCCTGACGAACGCCCAGACATTTCGTGTGTTCGCCGAACACGGGCTGCCGATGTTCCTGTCAAACTCATGCTCGACTCGAACATCGAGCCCATCCCTACTAATCACTGCGTGCGATTAAAGGGGGGGAGTTCTTCAATGGGAACACAAACAATAATTTGAACAGTCTTTTTTCAATCTTTCTTCATTTTATTAAAAAAGTCCTCATGGTCAAGATTTTGGTCCTGTTCATGTGACCCCCAGGAAATTGGGGACAACAATATCTACAGATAGCAACAAAAACTCCATGACAAAAAATATGAATGTCTTTCTGTTTACAGGTATTTTCCAACTAGGTCCAGCATCTCAAGTTGCAATAAGAGAAGGAGATTTGGATAAGTCTTATGACACTCAATTTGTATTTTCGGAGGTGAATGCAGATGTCAGCTACTATGTCGTAAAAGGGAACAATTCAAAATTTAAATCAAGGACAAACACAGCAGAAGTGGGCACATTAATCTGCACAAAAGCTGTGGGCATATCTGATTACGAAAATATCACTCATTTGTATAAGTACCTAGAAGGTAAGATTACCGCCATATCAACAGTTGATGATATCAGCAGCAACATCACTGAGATGTAACATATTTTAAAAAAAATGAGAGGAAGTTCAGACCTTACTAAGCAGATCAATAGTTTTTGAATTGCATGAGAGTTTATATGTGTATATACAGTATATATATATATACTGGGTGTCACCCCGCCGAGACGTCACAGTGCATGCGCGATTACATCATCGCGCACGCGTGGAGATCTTCTGATACCTGCCGGCGGCCATCTTGGTGAGGGGACAGTCACCCGGCGGGATAAAGTATGCCACCAGGTCCCCTCCTCTCTCCTGATACTGTCAGGTGTTCGGTCCATGACCGAGCGCCCGACTTTTCAGAGGGGGGGTGACACCAAAATGAAAAGAAAATATACTAAGAACATTTGTTTTTGTCCCTATTCCACAAAATGACCATTCACCGAAATTCAAAAGATGAATGGCTCTGTAAATAGACCCCATAGCCATAGACTGACGTATATTAAAGGATGCTGATGGATGGACACAGGCATTGACAGACACCTACTGTGACCAAATATAGCTTAGATTTGACTTGCACTTACTCGACATTGAGTGATTGGAATAGGCTACTAATACAGATATGGGCACAATACAAAGATGGATATTACCAGCAATATCCCTCTGTTCTAACAATGTGTTCTTACTTTAGGCAGCGGAAAAGAGAGAGAAATTTACCGGAAAGCTCAGCAGATAGTTGGTGTAAGTTCTGGATTCATGGCATTTTCTGCTGACGGATCTCCAGCTGCCGCGTCCGCTAGAGAACAGGATGTTTCTGGAGCAATAACCTTTTCTGGAACACCTACAGTTGGGGAAGATATCACTGCAATCCTGACTTTAACAAATTTGAAACCCACAATCAAAAATGTAACTGTCAACATATGTGTGTCTGCTATTGTGTACACCAAAGCAGTGAGACACTCTGTTCTCAAGCAAACTGTCAACGTGCAACTCAACCCAAATGAAGGTACTCTCCTTGAAACAATATAAATGACTAGACTAACTCATTTTGCTTTATATACTAACAGCTAGTGATAATGCTGCTAGGCTAAGGGCTCCTAACCACAGCCTGGTGCTACTGAGTTACGGTCAATGCATAGTAGACTTTCTATGTTTTGGGGGTTGGGCATAATTCAATATAGTGGTGGAAGTGAATAAGCAGTGCTATGCCTATGCTACTAGACACCAGTGGAGTGTATTCAGCTTTGAGGCTCTTCAGTACAAAGCATAACAATCACTCAACAAAACTAATTCATTGTGATGACTATAAAAGGTTATCAGTTGCTTTGGGTTTACTGTTCCCTTTTTTAGGTTATGATTTCCCTACTGTGCACATAGTGCCTAGACCATGTAAAATTTTACATATTCTTAACAAGTCAGAATAGAATCCTAGAGCCTACCTCGGGGGCTTTAGCATCCTCACATACAATGCAGGACTGTGGACTCTACATGACGTGATGACATCGGTAGTCCTCCTACCACTGGACCAGAGGCGGAAAGGGCCGGTCTTGGAACCCTACAGACAGAGTGGGGATCATGTTAGTAAAAATGCTTTATACAATACCCCTAGATGACCAGTTAAAGCTTGCAGTGCAGGGGTAATCCTACTGCAAGGCTAGTCAGGTGTGAACAGGCCCTATAGAAAGGAATGGCCATCCTCTTTTTGTGTATTAACTTGCAATTAATACACAATTAAATTTGTACAGGTGTGGATGTAAATTCTTTAAAGCCCATCTCCGTACAAACCATTTGGTACCTAAGTACACCATCTGGGTCCATCCTCACTGCTGTTCCAGATTGTGGGGGTGGACCAGTAATCCAGCACTGTAGATGTGCCTGGGCCAGCCGGTCTGCACCTATCCCCTCAAACTGACATCACCTGCAGACTCTTTTCTGAATCCTGAGAGTACCCTGGCGGTATAGAGCCAATAGGAAGAGTCCCATTATACAGGCAGTGATGTGGACACCTGAACCTCCTCTTACTTCATGATGTGTCTCTAGGGAAGACAATTAAAGGAAATCTTACCAATGGCAACAATAAATATACAAATCTAAAGAAAAATTGACAAGGGTTCTCACCCTTCCCTACACTATCTAAAACAAAAGTTTGGGTTAGAAATACACTTTAAAAAGTAGGTAATACAATTAATGGTTGTGTTTCTCCTCATGCACCCCTACAATGATGCATAGGGGCATCTAAGATGATGTTGTCAGCAGCTACACATGGCAATGGTATATGGATGAGAGTATCCTTGGTATCTAGCTGTGCAAACTCCCTGGTCCCTACCAACCATTTCTCACTACTTTAGAGAGCAAGCTCATCTAAAGGAATGCAGAGAATGTGTCTATAGGATGACAGGGTTCTTGATCATTATAGATCCCAAAAGGAAGCAGGAAAATTGCTAACTATGACAGTATATAAGCAGATTTGATTGAGTTGTCTGGATAAGTTAAGGGGCTCTCGGAATTTTAAAAGCACATGTATCCCTTAAGTCTGATGAGTTACACTTGTACTTAGCATATTATCATTATCACGTTGCATAGTTGCACTTTGCATATCATCAAAGCCCTCATCATTGTTTTACTGAACTCCACTGATGTCTATGAAACAGGCCTTATAGGATTCTTAACATATGTACAACTTTCTCTGGGTCTCAGTGGTAAGATACACATTTTTCATGTTCTCAGAATTACATGAATATTTGTTATTGTATAATGTATTTCCTGACCTGCATGTTTTGCATGATGTATGTGCATTATTACCTTTTTATAATGTAAAGTAACAGTTAATGTTCGCTTTACATTTGCCCCCAGCCCTGGATTTGTGACACCCTTTTGTTTCTTCTTCTAAACTGATTTCCCTTGCGTGTCTCAGTTCTGGACGTTTGTCCACTAAAACGTACATGGTTTTCACAAATGACCAGGCAGGAAACATTTTTTTCCAAATTAAATAACATTTCATTACTAGATATTTAATTTAGAGACAAATAAGCTGTTCACTTTAAAAGACAATTTTCACTTTACAAAGGAATATCCCTTGCATGTGATTAGGTATTATTTTCAAAGTTAATGTTTACCACATTCACTAAGCTAAGACAAAATTCCCTTGCAACTTGAACAGCCAATTTGACTTTAGAAAATCAACCTCATAGTGTTCATCGAACTTCCAAAAAAGTTAATAGTTCCAGAGACCTTGAAAATGACTTTTGAAATGTTGACAAAATATTTTTCATCCCATCGAAGGACCTTTTAGAAATGTCAAATATTACTAACATGCAGCACTGCTCAAGTTTGCATCTATTATCCTACAGTGCAATCAGTCATATCAAAATATTAGTTAGATAATTCTCCCCACAGTGGACAACCTGGACTTTGTAGTCTCCCCAAGAGACAAACAGGCTGCTATAACAGACTGCTATATTTAAGGAACATACCAAATTGGAAAAACATGCATAGCTTGCATAATGTTTTGCTGGGGTTCATTGGTGGACGACAATGGGCCTTTGTGCGCAGAAAACCAGTGCTTATTGTTAGTGATCTGTGCCCAACTTCAGGGTGATGGCTGCCAGTCTCTGTCTTTACTAGCTTTGCACGCTTGCTGTTGGTCAAGGGTGTTCCTGCAATCTCCCCCAAGGTGCAGCTGCCCACCCTGCTCCTTGTTCCTTTTGCATCCCAACACACATCACCTATCGATGTGCTTACTGCTGCCATGTTATGTCCTGTGGTATCACCAGCACGGAAGGATCTTCAGAACTGGAATGTGATCGCCCCAAGACTGGTCTGGGTAATCTGCAGTAAGAAGACCCACCACCAGCTTATCATGCATACCTGATTGTCCAGTTTTCCTATTGAGGTTCCCTCTATTGTCTACTGATGAACCTTCTCGTTTTTTTTGGAGCTCCTGCGCTGTAGCACAGGCGGCACAGGCAATGTATCTACCTCGGCTGGTGTCTTCAGTGAGCATTACATGAGTGAGTAACTACAAGAAGGATTACCACGTGTCATATAAGCCCTACGTTGCCCACTTCACCTTCAGTGGATTAAGCCTGTTATTTAGACACATGGATAGGAAAAGCCAAACTTTGCCCATTTATTGGACAGCGGAAATGTAGAAAGAAAACTGTGCACATATAAACACACTATTGGGCTATTGCATAAAAATCCATCAGTGTTCGACCCTGCTATTCATGGAAATTCTACACTTTTCAGAACCACCTACAGTGGGTGACTGCCAGCATATACAAATAAGTAACCTTAATTGTATTGCAGTGGTCATGGGTGGTGACCATCAAGCATGTCCCTACAAAGTTGTAGTGACATAGGGAGTGGCAGGTTGGAACCATAACGCAGTAGGGGATGCAGGCATTCAAACCCCTCAGAAGTATTGGACGCTGAAGATTATTTGGGCAGGGCAGCTCTACAAGGGATTGTAGGTCAGAATCACCAGGTGTGGGACTAGTAAGAATTACTCTTCTGTTACAGCTGGCTGTTTTTAAAAAAATTTGAAGTGGTAGTTACTTTATTAAACATTTGTAACTTCATGAAAGCTAAAGATGAAAACAAAATGGACATTTACTACTGGATCCATGACTGAGAACTTTTTTACTATAAGAAGCTATAGAAATATATAAATGAAGGTTCATTCTCCAATATGAAACAATATACTATGACACCAGGATGCCAAATCAGAAATGGTTTGTCTTTGGTACGGGGATCCCAGTACAGGAGAGGTGAGTATGCACTAAGTCTGGTTAATGTTAGTTTTATGATCACAGGGAAAGTTGATGTTAGGGTTGGGGTTACAGGAAGAGTAAGTGTGAGAGGGACCTTAGGTAGGGAATCTATGTTGAGAGGCCAAAAACTTCCAGAGCCAAGTTCCCGGAGGTGAAAGCTTATACACTTACCGGCCACTGTATTGGGTACACCTTGCTAGTACCGGGCTGGACCCCCTTTTGCCTTCAGGATTGCCTTAAGTCTTCATGGCACAGATTCAACACGGTGTTGAAAACATTCCTTTAGAGATTTTGGTCCATATTGACATGATAGCATCACGCAGTTGCTGAAGATTTGTTGGCTGCCCATCCATGATGTGAATCTTTTGTCCCACCACATCCCAAAGGTACTCTATTGGATTGTGATCTGGTGACTGTGGAGGCCATTAGAGTACAGTGAACTTATTGACTTGTTTAAGAAGCCAGTTTTAGATGATGTGAACTTTGTGACATGCTGCATTTTCCTGCTGGAAGTAGCCATCAGAAGATGGGCACACCGTGGTCATAAAGGGATAGACATGGTCAGCAACAATACTCAGGTAGGCCGTGACGTTTAAACAATGCTCAATTGGTACTAAGGGGCCCAAAGTGTGCCCACAAAATATCCCCAAGATCATTACACGACCACCACCAGCCTGAACCGTTAATACAAGGCAGGATGGATCCATGCTTTCATGTTGTTTACGCCAAATTCTGACCCTACCATCTGAATGTTGCAGCTGAAATCGAGACTCCTCAGACCAAGCAACGTTTTTCCAATCTTCTACAGCATTATCCAATTTTGGCGAATTGTAGCCTCCGTTTCCTGTTCTTTGCTGACAGTAGTGGCACCCGGTGTGGTCTTCTGCTGCTGTAGCCCATCTGCTTCAAGGTTCGACGTGTTGTGTGTTCAGAAATGGTTTTCTGCATACCTTGGTTGTTATGAATGGTTATTTGAGTTACTGTTGCCTTTCTATCATCTTGAACCAGTCTGCCCATTCTCCTCTGACATCAACAAGGTATTTTCGTCCACACAACTGCCGCTAACTGGATATTTTCTCTTTTCTGGACCATTCTCTGTAAACCCTAGAGATGGTTGTGCTTGAAAATTCTAGTAGATCCGCAGTTTTTGAAATGCCACGTTCAGAGTCACTTAAAACCCCTTTCTTCCCCATTCTGATGCTCGGTTTGAACTTCAGCAAGTGGTCTTTACCACATCTAGATGCCTAAATGCATTGAGTTGCTGCCATGTGATTGGCTGATTAGCAATTTGTGTTACCAAGCAATTGAACAGGTGTACCTAATAAAGTGGCCGGTGAGTGTATATTGTCTTAAGTTCACAGCCAGTTTCTACTTACTGATCACCAACCACATAATATTCTTCTACATTTAATCACCTTTTTTCTTGCAGAAATTGGACTATTTCAATCTGAACTGCCCACACTCAAATGTCAACCCAGTTTATCACATACAGGTTTTTCGAGCTGCATGTGGGTATTAAGAACTGAGAAAATACTGTATATTGTGTTATCCTTTTCTTCATCCAACATGCAGCACGGACATTTTCTTTCAGTATTTTCCTAGCTGAACCCATCCGTTGTCCTCTTGTTGTACAGCAGTTCAGGAAAGTAATTAACAATCCAAAATCTAAATGCTGATTTTGCTTAAATACAATGTGAATGTGTCTATCTTAAGGTTTTGATTTACATAATGTGGCTTAATGACATACTGATGGTAGAATGGGCAATATTGGTTTTAAATGGCACTAGCTAATCTTGTACTTGTCCTACCGTAGGTGGGGGGCAGGGATTTCCTGCTTGCTTGTCCTGCATACCAACTAAAAAGAAAAAAAAGTTTGGTAAGTCTTCACTGCATTTTTAATTTTAAAGTATTTGTGCTATAAGGAGATCCGAGGATGTAGCAAGCAATCAATTATGTAAATCTCTGTATTAAGGTTTATACATAATACTGTCCCAAGCATCATTATAGATTAAAGTTCCCAAGTACTTGCAGATAACCTGCAAAGGCAGGTTTGTTTTACACTTTCTCTGCTAATAATGGGCCCCAGATGTTTGAGACTGAGAGCTATCCCGTAGATATTGAACACTTAAATGTAAGATATAACCATATCTTGTCTCCTGAACAACATTAATAGCCACAACTGCCCCCACCTCTCATTGAGAATTTTGCATTACCCAGGACGGTCTCTTAATGGTAAGCTCTCATGGGCAGGGCCCTCCTTACCATCTTGTTTTGAATTGTATTATAATTGTAATGCCTTCCCTATATTGTAAAGTGTTGCACAGACTGTTGGCGCTATATAAATTCTGTATATTAACAATAATAATAATGGTCACATCTGTTTGCAGATCATCCACCAGCCCTGAAGTTAAGACTCTATAGGCTTTATTTCAGGAGAGCTTTGTGAACCTTTTATTTTGTATAAACCTTCATATTTTAAATGTATCTATAATATTTACAGTGCTTAGTAAATAGGTACATGCAAATTGATTTTCTGTTTGTTACGTAACCACTGCCCTGAAGCCTGTTCACATTATAGTACTTACAGAAGAGTAGAAAGTTCAGGTAGCGAAGGCTATCTGTGTTCCCTTAAAATGAACAGTCATGGCATGAATATAAAAATAGTAATTGTCCTTGCACATTATTGGGCGATTAAATTGGACACAGCCTACATACACTATTCCTTTATGCAATCACCCCAAATTTGTTGACATACTGTATTTAATTTGGTAGAAAACGAACATTTTTACACAAGTATTCAGTTGCTCACGTCTGAAGTCTAGCCTGATGGTTTGCCAGCAAGGCCTTGGGGCAGGTATTCAAGGCATTGGTTACATTCACAAAACAAACCTAATTTAAGTTTTCACTGTTTACTGAAACTTTTTTCCAAACTCCAGGCTACTAAACATCAGTCATCTTTTCTCCAAATCCAAGCGAGCAAAGAAGCTCCACTGCAGTTCATTGACCAATGGGCAGAAGAAAAAAATGGGAAAAACATAAAAAATATTTACTGCTCAGTGAAGATGTCATAAATTGTGGTATCTAATATTTGGAGACTGGAACAAACATTGGGCTGTAGCAACCATTTAGATTATTAGCTTAAAGCTGAACTCTAGGCAGATTAAAAAAAGACACAAATGAATGCAGCTTCGTAATCATTAGTGCATTAATCACATTTACTTGATTAAATGCAAGCAGTGTAAGTACCTGAATTTGACCTGGTATAAGCCTCTTGTAGTGCCTGTTCACCAAATCTAAATAAAAGAAGAAATAGAAGCACAAGGAGCCAATCAGTTTGTGTGTTGGTGATAGAGGGAGACAGCAGTGACAGAGAGATGAACTCATCATCACTGTGCTGCTTTTGTTTCACTGTCTAGTTCCAAGCTGGGGGTGGGCCCAAAATGGCCTTTGCTCAGAAGAAGTGGGGTAAATGATGAATGGTGGCATTCAACACAGAAGAATGAGGAGATCTTGTGGGGTAAAAGATCTACTGCAGGGGAGAACTCACTGACAGTGAGCATTGCAGCTAAAGCTAATTTTATTTTTTTCTTTAAAGGGGGCGATTTTTAAAACATTTATTTTGGCTAGAGTTCTGCTGCAATGGAACCAGGTTAGTTGGTATTAAAAACGTGCCCACTTAAATTAGCACTAGTTTTACCTTCTAGTCAAAAAGCCCTAGAAAGGGGATTTTTAAAGAAGACCTATCCAGTAATGATGGTATGAAGAAAACATGGACACGACAATATGAGTGAGGTAAGGAAGACACACATCTGAAGATCCAGCTTCCTAACCAGGTTTTGGAGGCGATAACTCTTTAACAAGCTTGGGCATAAATACCTGACCACATCGGAAAGACCCAGATATGCTTGGCATCCTTGACAAAAGTGGATTAATTTTCATTGTATAATAATGGCAATATTTACATGGTTATTCACAAAAGAGTGAAGGGTTTGGAGAAGGCAGGAGAAGTGAACAATCTAGGACAATATAGCTGAATTGGAAAAATTCTCCAATTTAGCTCACTTTCCAGTTAAGCTATGTTGTCCTAGATTGTTCACTTCTCCTGCCTCCTCCAAACTCTTCACCCTTTTGTGAATTACCCTGTTATTAGGTTTCAGTAGTGAGAGCACCTTGCTAAAGAATCTATTCAATTCTGATTCTGTCAGGTAAGGTTGTTGAAAAGCTAAAGACGATTGTACAAGCAGATTGTAACATGAGGGGTCAGCTTTGAAAAACACAATTAGCCATGATTATCTTTTAATGAATGCCCAATTGTAGCTGTTATCGCTACTAGAAAATTTTACAGTGTCAGATGATTAGGCTTTGTACATGAGCACCTTTCATCAGTAAAGGAAACAACTTTCTGTTATTTTACATTTCTTTTTTTAGTGAAAGAGGTCCCAATTCATGTTAAATACTCTGAATATGAAAAAGCATTGACGACGGATAACATGATCCATGTAATGGCCGTGTGTCAGGTTGAAGGCTGGGGGGATCTGTTGGTGGAAGGTACCGTCACTTTGAAGACACCACGTCTTATAGTTCAGGTGACTGTCCTTTTTACATTAAGTGCCTAACATATTTGTTTTAAACCTTTAACCAGTTTTATTTTTAGAAATGTAGTTGACAGTTTGCATAAACTAACCACCTATTCTTTTATGTTTTATACTGAGCTTACCTCTTCTAACAACAATACATGTGGTATATCCCAAACTGGCAATACATACAACCTTATATTAAACCAGATCAGACATAGGTTATGTTGTATTTTTAAGGTTAAATCTTTTTTTATTTACCTTTTCACATGTTTATGCCGTTATTAAAGTGGACCCTGCAGTACAATGTAAGGTCTACGTATAATGGCTGGGCCCCCTCCTCCTGTACAAATTGCCCGGTAGAATGTGCACAATGTGCCGGTAAAGAAAAAAGTTCGATTTTATACTTAATTTGCCCCTGTCCTCTGCATCGTTGGATGTCATGTCACTGTCCTTCAGAGAAGCCCAGATCTCACAAGGACACATTGTAGTCGATTCCAAGGGCATCTTTTCAATGGAAGGAATGTGACATCACCCACGCCCAGGTGCCATGGTAAGAATAATAATGGAGTGTAAGTATAAATTATTTTTGGACAACTTTACACTTCAATGTTCACTTGAATTTAGACCTCCTGCATATACTTACCTTCCTTTCACTCCCCGACACTACATTCTGCCACCAGGAGTAATAGCAAATGCCCTGTGTAAGCTATGAGTCACTGGAGTCAAAGCTTATACAAGGCTGTGCCTCCCCCCCCCCCACTTTCCCAACTATGTGACGATGTTACTTGACCCAACAATGTCACAAGGAGTAAGTCTCTTTGTGGTCTCAGGTGGGCTGTGCAGGGTATTGTAGGTTCTCAGGCTTCCCTGTTATGCTAGAAGCGCAACCTGTCAGAAGCTGGATACAGCAAAATGCCTTAAACAGGAAGGGGTGGGGCAAATTTACGTGGGGGACTTTCCTAGGGCAGCACAAAACCTAAATACACCACTGCCCAAAATGTCCCTAATTCATGGGCTCTGATCTACATGTTTGTGAATATCTCTAGACAATATTGCTATTGAGGCTACCTATGTATTCAGGTCATGGCTAGTAGTAGTTTCTCTTATTCACCTACACTTGTTCTGTGATGTTGAAGATGTGTCATCACTTATCTGAATAAGCTAATTGAGGAACTAAGGAAGCCAATTTGATGAGCACTGAAACGTCTTAAACATTTCAAAAGAGGTCCAATTGAATGTGATAAATTACTACATATAGTGTGTCTTTGACTGTTATGATGGGCATACTTGTTTCATGTCAATGGTGCAGGAAGTACTGAAACTATAGGGTGAGCATGAGCCAGGCAGCGAACATTTTTACAAAAAAATGAGCAATAAGGAAACCATATTTTTCTCATAACTGATTTACTTCAAGCTTTAAATGACATATCTATTAGGGCTGGTAATGATTAAAATTTTCGTGTTCGATTAATCAACATTTTTTTTAATCGATTAATTATAACGCACATACAGATCCGACTACATTGGCCTATACACATACAGCTCAGCAATGAAGAAATAAAATGAACTAGGATCACACTAATCTAGCATGTTATTAATCTCACGTGCCCCACTCAATATGGCCGCCGCTTGAGTGGGGCAACTCAGAATAATAACGTGCTGGATTAGTGTGATCCTAGTTCATTTTATTACTTCATTGCTGTGCTGTATGTGTATAGGCCAATGCCTTGGCTGGCGCTCGTGCAGAAAGTTTCTTGGTCAAACTCACCGGCTCAAGTGGCTCCGTCGGCTAGCGAAGAGAAGCTTCCCTTAGTTAGCCGTCACGGACATCAACGTCACCGGACTCCTCCCCCCTTTCCTTCGTTAGCCGACGGAGCCACTTGGGGAAGGGGGGAGGAGTCCGGTGACACGGATGTGCGTAATGTCACCGGATCTCCAACGGGACTCCCGGAAGCCGGCGGAGAGGTGAGTGTTTTCATTAGCGATCAAAAGAATTGTAATCGTTAAAAAAGTTTAACGATTAATCGAGAAATGAATTGTTAATTTCCGCAGCCCTAATATCTATTATTACTTGTTTTGAATGGCACATATGTTTTCTCAGATAAATACATTATTTTTGATTCTACTGTGCAAGGGAATGGAAAAAAACTGGGATGACTGAAGTGAGCATTGGTTTACTTGGCCAACTTAATATTCGACTGTTTAGTAAACTGGCCCCATCTATTCAGGGTTCCATATTTCATGTTTGCCCCAGGGTTTTTCCACAGACTTTTATTGTATTTTCATCAGTATTATTTTAACTTTTGTCCTTTTATCTGTCAGGCTGTTGGACCAGTCGAGTTGGGAAAATCAGCGACTATAGAAGTTACATTTACTAATCCTCTTCAAGTCGCAGTAAATGAATGTGTGCTCACAGCAGAGGGTAGTGGTTTAACAGAAAATGAAGTTAGGAAGAGGTGAGTATTATATAGCAGATGAAAGAAGTTTTGGGGGGTTTTTTTGCACTGCTAATGTTGCTTGCAGCATTGCTAAGAGTAGCTATCGATCCCATACAAATAGAACAAATGGTGTTCTCTGGTTTAAGCTACACGAGTTGCATGTAGTATTGATTGATGTAGCTTGATTGGACAGTTCTCCAATGATGCGTAATGGATTTCTGCTTTATGCTAGTGGTGTAGAATACGCTATAGGGAGCTTTTAGTTCCAGTTATTTATTTTAGTAATTATGAAGCTGAACTCAAAACATGAAGAGTTGCGATCCTATAGGAAACATTTAAAATGTTATTGTTGTGGCTACGCAGCACCGTGTAAAATCTTAAATTCCTCCTTAAATTCCTCCTAAAAAATAGCAGACTATTTCCTGTGCCTAGGCAATACTGTGGCTTGAGCCTCATAGCTGTGTATCTGTGAGATCATGTGAGATCATCTAAGGCACTGCTGCCTGTTACTGCTAGTCTCACAAGATTTGACGCAAGATTTGGTGATGTCACTATTGTGCTGCCCACTGTTCTTCTTGCTGGAGAGGAAGCTGTTCGTGGTGAGCTGACTACAAGGATCTCCTTCTGTTTCACCCATTCTGTGGATCTGTGTTTAGTTTATGTCTCCTATTGCTTTATGAATATTCCCCCACCAGTCATCAGATCACCAGTTATGAGGTGGGACAGCTCTGATCTAAGGAAGCAAAGCCCTGCCTCCTCACAAAAAAAGGGAGTAGAAAAAAGCATAGTAAGTCAGTAATGGGAAAAAGATCACTTGATCCATCATTAGGAAAGACATGTGCAAGAGGTCATAAAAGTCCATCATTGTCCTTGGTCCCAGGGTCTGGCTTGCTTTGTGAAATGTTTTCACCAGAAATTGGGATCATCGCTCATTGCTCCCAGCAGGAACAGGTGCTACTGATAAATACCACAGGGGGTCATGCTGTAAAATTATTATTCCAAGTGGCTTTCCCATCAGAAGTTCAGTCAGCTGCCCTACTCAGCCTCAATCCACAAAGCTATCAGTGCTCAGTTCGCCCCATAGGCATATGTGAGTTTTACATCAAAGCTGCATGGAGATAGATTTGATCAGCTTGCATAAAGATGTCTGTCAATCGCTCTCTTAGTCTATGTTGTTTTCCTACTATTGCCAATTTCTTGTCGATGTATTACCACCATTGCTCGTTTGTTGCCCACCTTTTGTCATGGTGTGCAATTAGTTGCCTGTGTACTGCCACTATTGTCCACTTGATGCCCATGTATCATCGCATTTGTTAATTTATGGCCTATATATTTTCACAGTTAGCGATCATTGGATGAGCAACAGTTGGGCGTTTTGATGCCCACTTATTGCCACCACTGCCTGCTGTGCCAACAAATTGTCAGGAATGCCCCATTTGTTGCCTGTGTATTGCCACTATTGTCCGCTTGTTTTCTATGTATTGCCACATTAGCCAGTGTATTGGCACCATTCCCAATTTGCTGCCCATGTATTGCCACCATTGCCAGTGCATTACCTTTGTTACTTACCTACTTCCATATATAGAAGCTTTAGCCCCAATAAAGTATTTTAACTTGTGTAGCTTTCTACATTTAGCACTAGTTAGTGGGCCTGGGGAACAAATCAAATCCTTAATTTATGAATGCGATAGCTGAGCTGCAATTCTATCTGTTTTTCCTTACAGTGTTGGTACCTTGGAACCTGGAAAATCGATTACCTTTACCGTGGACATCAAGCCTTTTGCATCTGGAGAGAAACATTTGTTACTCAATTTATCATGTGACAAATATAGTGATATTAAGGAATTTGTAACTGTGCCCGTGTCAGAACATCCTTCATAACCCCGACTGCAATAACAACTTTATTGTATTATTTGGTTATTCAGTGCCTATCTGTTCCTACCAGTAAGTGTTAAAAATAAAGAGATCATCAATAAATCCAGAATGTAATATCTCGTATATATACCTTTACCCATTCCTAAAATGTGTGATTTGTTGGGAAACAAACCGATTACTCCTTCTTATGTGAATGAAAATGTAATACCGTCTGCTTTTAGTTTAATTATTTAATTATTATTTTTTAACGCAAACCTGGAGAATTACCTTCACTTCTTGAAGCAGAAACACAGCAGGAAGTGAGAGAATATTGATCCAAAGCATCAGGCCATCTACTGTCACAATTACAGGTTTCCCCATTGGAAGATTTTCTCTCACTTCCTGTTCCTGTGATAGCCCACACATTTTGAATTTCTCGTCTCTTTCTGTACAAGAAACAATGGTGACTGATACCAATAATGAGGATGAATATGCTCAATGAGAACAGAGACAGCAATAAACATCAGCAATAAAACGTGATTTTGGTGAAAAGTGTGTGTTTAGGAGATAGTAAAAGCCAGCTCCAGACAAACCAAAAATGTACCCTTGCAGTCGGGTTGCCCCAGCACTGCAATGGTGAAGTGCTCCTTTATGTTTAGGGGTTGGAGTAAAGCAGATTTACTTACCTGGTCCCTGCACCCCTGGCAGTCCACACTTTCTGCTTCTTCCCTCCACTCTGGCTCGTGGACTGTCCCTTGGCATCCCCATGTCCAATGCAGCTCTATGGCACCTGCATTAGACGTGATAATGTCAACGGTCCTTAGACCGCCAGAGCGAAAAGAAGAGGCCGCGGAGACCAGTCTAGTAGCCTAGAGGGAGCAGGCAAGAGCGAGGATCAGGTTAATAAATCTGCTTAACTCCGGCCCCTGGACATAAACAAGCACTTAACCCTAGCAGTGAAAGGGGTAGCCTCACTGTTTTGGCTTGCTCAGAGATGGGCTTAGGAACACTGTAGAGTCTACAAACTTTATTATATATGAAAGGGGAAGAGAGGGCACATGTGTGCTGAAGAAGGGATGCTGGTACCAGCAGAAAAGTCTCCGGAAAGGAAGCCTCTGGAAACGTTATTATTCATGAAGGGGTCAGGGAGAAGGGGCACCAAGGGGGCACATATAGATATACAGGGGCGTAACTAGAAATCACAGTGCCCCAGAGCAAAAGTTTGTATGGGGCCCTGTGATTTCTAGTTAAGCCCACCTGATAACCCAAACAGCCCACCTGAGGGTGACCCTGGAGAGCCCACCATAGACTCTCTATGGTGGGCTCTGCAGGGTCTCAGTGGGCAGTCAAGCCCTCTTACCTGTCTACTCCGGTCCTCTGTGCGCCTCCTTCTCCTCCACGATCTCTTGCGGTCCCCGCCTTCTCCGTCACTGGGCCCCACCTCCTTGATTGTTGGGCCCCGCATCCCCATTGCTGAGCCCCACCTCCTCCATCGCTGACCCCACCTCTTTCATCGCTGCAAACGATGGGCCCAGCCACTTCCTCCGAAGCTGCTGGTTGTTTCTGACTCAGCAGCGGCTGTGAGGAGGAACTCGCCGCTGCACATGTGAATAGCGGTGCGTTCCTCCTCACAGCCGTTAGTGACAGCCAGCAGCCTGCGATGCCATAGCGACCCGAGCGGCCCACATGTCATCAGGGGGATGTCCTTGCTGGGCCCCCCTGTGCCCCGGGCTCATGTTGCAGGGAGAAGAATGCTGCTATTGTCAGAATTAGAGGAAAAAACTGCTGCAGGTTTGGATGGCCAGGACCTCGAAAAGAGCAACTAGTGTTGGACTGCAATGAACATTAAAATGGGCAAGCATTAAGAATACCAACTTCGGTGGATTATGAAGGGATATTTGCTGCTGTGCCCAATTTGATTACTGCTGCTGATGATGATATTACTGCTAATGTAATGGAACCGAGTACATTTGGACTTTGGAATAAAAAACTCCTGGATTGTTGGGACTTATATTTATAGCCAGTGGACTTGAAGGAGTGAATTGTAAGTGTGAACCATATGGAAGTCTTAACATAATATGCATTTGCACATTAAATATTGGAACATACTGACTGCTAGTTAATTCTGTCTGGCTGTACATATTAATGTGGGTCTGTGTTGCTGTACATAGTTTTGCAATAAAGCTCCTTTTTGTTTACTCCATTGAGTGTTCAGCATATTATTACCTGCCACATCTTAGCACTACTATGGTGCCACTGGGAGCCAATCTTGTCTCATAATGTGATGGCTCCAACCTGTTAATAGAAGAATGGTCAAAGAGATTGAAGAGCATGGTCCGTTTGTATAATGTATATAATGTATAATGTTTGTATAATGTACACCAGGAGTTTCAAGCAGAGCTCGCCCTTAACACGCTGGAGCAAGATGCCCATAGGCCCATTTTACTCTGATCTTTAGAAGGAAGAGTAACCCTGAGTGAAATTAAAACTATATTGGGAGAGACCTCATTAGCCGCTGTGGTACGCAAACACTTCTCTGTTAAGTTCCAGACGGAAGGCAAACCCTCACTTGTGGTGGTGCTGCAAAGAAAGGGCACAAACTATTTGCAGATTTGCAGGCACTGATAGAGATGGATCGTTAATATTTTATCAATTTCTGCTTGGACAGAGAATTGTGCTCCTTCAGCAGGTGTTCCAAGAGAAGGTGGATGTTGACCCTGCCATAAGATTTCACCATTTGCAAAAGGAGGCTGCGCACAGGAATATGGAAGAGAGAAATTTGGGCCCTATACCAGCATACCTGCAACATCGCTTGTTCTGGTGAAGTATTTAATAAGCATGTTCTTCAAGAGACTGTCAAAGAACTGTGGGATACCATGGAAGTGGCCCAGATAAGTAAGGCAGCCTTGGAAGCAGTAGAGCAGTCATGATCTAGAAGAGAATGGAGGCTCAGACCTTGCTGTAGGTGTGAAAAAGGTGATCACTTTGGAAAAGAGTGTCAAAGTCCTGCATTCTGAAGCTAAGAGCAGCAGGATTTAAAGTACATAACCCTGTTATTGTCAGGCAAACTGCGAGGAGCACTAAAGCAAATGATCCATCATTACCCCGTCATCAGCTGGTTGGCGAGTGTCCATTTATTGTGGGACTGTTTATTGGTCAAAAAGTGGACTGATTGATGAATACCTACTCCTAGACAAACACTACCTAAAAGCATGTAATAACAATGTTAATAATTGGATCTCCCTGATGGCTGCAAATCACCAGCCCATCCCTGTAGACAGTGTGGCCTAAATGGAGCTTGTAGGAAAGAGACTGCCACCAAAGTGCGTGGTCATTTGAAACAAGGGGATAACCATTCTATATATATATCCGAAAGTGGGTATGAATATCCTTCAGGAATTGGATGGGATTCTGTTCCATAAACTGGGGGCCACCTACTGGAAAAGTCTGCTCCTTAGGCATCCAAGTCAGCGTTTGTTACAGTGGCTGATGAAGATCTGTCTCCGGCACCATACACTGTCCAAGAGCTCTGGCTGTCTGGAACATGTTAGGGCACCTGCCAAGGCAGCCATCACAGTCCCAGCCCAGCATAAAATTGTCTGCCCTTGTGGGTAGGGACCCACCATAGTCTCCAGGGTGGCTGTACTGCTGCAGCCTATTGAGCAAACACAAGGTCTGTTCGTGGCAAGGACACTTTAGAGCCACCAGAGCCAACTGGTGGAATGACCAACTTGTCCTTGAAAAACTACATTGTGGGAAGGTCTTCTTACCACACAAGTTGTGTGGTAAGGCAGTTTTATTTTTGTAGGTGGGAGGACTATGGGAGCACAGACACTGTAGTACATAAAATATCAGCGAGAGGCACAACACCAGTTCCCCCAGCGATGTACTGGGTGGTGAAGCAGATGCCTATTAAATTACTCAAGGGCAGAATTAGCTAGGAGAGCTGGAGTCCATAGGCCACCCCAGTTGGGCTGGTGAAAAAGAAAGGTGGGGGCATAAAGTTGTGTGGGCTATAGGTGTTTGAACAATTCTATAATGTGAGATGCCTAGCCCCTTCCCATTGGGTAGGAGTCCCTGATAACATTGGTAAATGTCAAATATTTCTCTACCCTGGATTTAGCAAGGAGGTATTGGCAGGTCCTGACACATGAGAAGGACTGCCTTTGTAACCCTCATGGGACTCTATGAGTTTAAACAGATGCAGTTTGGATGATCTAATGCACCAGCAACATTCCAGCAACTCATGGAACTGTATCCGGGGCACTAAAATCAGGAGGCAATCCTTATATACCTGGATGATATCATCATGTTCTTTGCCACCTTCAGTAAACACCTCTCCAGGTTGGATGTTGTTTTTCAGAGGTTAATTAATTTAAACTGAAACCAGGCAAGTTCTGCATTTCAAAGAGTATATTGAATACCAGGGGCATTAAATGTTTTGTGAAGGGGTTAGACAAATGACAGGATTGGCTCACATAATGCAAAACTACAGAAGTTTGCTCTTTTCTGGGGCTTGGCGGATACTTTTGCAGGTTCATTAAGGACTTTGCTAAAATTGCAACCAAATTGAATAAACTGTGGGTAGGAGAAGCAGCAGTTTGACCAAGAAGGACACAGTTGAAGTGGAGAGAGCCTCAAGCTTGATATTGACATCAAAATGTTTTTAAGTTATCTCAAATGAGGAATAGCCTACAGTGCAAGGGATGCTGCTTCTTGATATTAAAAAGGTTTAGCTTCCTGCAGAATCAGTGAATCAGCTGCTCCCCTGAGTGTTGGCCCTAATATCCTGTTTTAGGGCCCATTCACACCACATCCAGATCATCTCCAGACCAGACCAGACCTGATTGTTTTTGGACCCAAAATGCATCCTAATATATCCCTATGCTACTTCTGACCTCTGTTCACACCAGCGCAGTCTGTTCCAGAACAGACCGTAAAAATACTGCATGTCTCATTTTGTCTGGTCTGGAATGCACTGGAACTGCAGGCAGGTTCACACTATTTTCTGGTCCAGATCTGGTCTGGAAAATGGTGTGAACCTGCCCTTAGGGTGGCCCCTTGCTCTCACAGGTTCCTATGGATCCTGTATGTGTGTGCTAGGAAGCTG